AGGCCCTAGGGGTAGGCCCCAGGGTAGCCAGCCCTAGGGGTAGGCCCTAGGGGTAGGCCCTAGGGGTAGCCCTAGGGTAGCCCTAGGGGTAGGCCCTAGGGGTAGGCCCTAGGGGTAGCCCTAGGGTAGCCCTAGGGGTAGGCATTAGGGGTAGCCCTTGTATTGCGGATTACAAACTGATTCCTTTGGTCGGGCGGGCGGGCGGGACATTAAATGCATTGATTGCTTTGGTGGCGGATTACATGTTGACTTCCTTAGGTAGCAGATTACACATTGATGCCTTTAGTCGGGCGGGCGGGCGGGACATTAAAAGCATTGATTGCTTGTGTGGTGGATTACCAATTGCTTCCCGTTAGTAACGGATTACGAGTAGGTTCCCTTTGTGGTGAATTATCAACTGATTATTTTTGTCGGGCGGGCGGGCGGGACATTAAAGGTATTGATTGCTTGTGTGGCGGATGTCAGACTAAATCATATTGGGGCAGATTACACATTGATTCCTTTTGTCGGGCGGGCGGGCGGACCATTAAAGGCAATGATTGCTTGCGTGGTGAATTACAAATGGATTACATTTGGCAGCGAATTACAAACTGATTCCTTTGGTCGGGCGGGCGGGCGGGACATTGAATGGATTGATTGCTTTGGTGGCGGATTACAAAGTGATTTCATTTGGCAGCGGATTACAAGTTGATTACTATTGTGGCGGATTACAAGCTGATTCCTTTTGTCGGGCGGGCGGGCGGGACATTAAAGGCATTGCTTGCTTGTGTGGCGGAATACACATTGATGCCCTTTGTGGCGGAGACCCCCCCTCGCAGACCCCCCCCTCGCAGACCCCCCCCCCCTCACAGACCCCCCCCTCACAGACCTCCCCCCCACACAGACCCCCCCTCTGGGACCCCCCCCTCACAGACCCCCCGCCTCACAGACCCCCCCCTCACAGACCCCCCCCTCGCAGACCACCCTCCACCTCGCAGACCCCCCCCTCGCAGACCCCCCCCTCACAGACCCCCCCTCTGGGACCCCCCCTCACAGACCCTCCCCCCCTTGGGGGTCCCTAGGCCGCCGGTGATTCCATTTGGCAGCGGATTACAAGTTGATTATTACTGTGGCGGATTACAAGCTGATTCCTTTTGTCGGGCGGGCGGGCGAGACATTAAAGGCATTGCTTGCTTGTGTGGCGGATTACACATTGATGCCTTTTGTGGCGGAGACCCCCCCTTCGCAGACCCCCCCTCGCAGACCCCCTCCCCTCGCAGATCCCTCCCCTCGCAGACCTCCCCCCCACAGACCCCCTTTCCGGGACCCCCCCTCACAGACCCCCGGCCTCACAGAGCCCACTCCTCACAGAACCCCCTCTCGCAGACCTCCCCCCTCGCAGACCTCCCCCCCTCGCAGACCTCTCCCCTCGCAGACCCCCCCTCACAGACCCTCCCCCCTCTGGGACCCCCCCCCCCCACAGACCCTCCCCCTTTGGGGGTTCCCTAGGCCGACGACGGCCGACGGCGACGGCGACGCAGGACATCGACGGCCAGCGGCGACGACGATCACCACGGAATCGCCGACGACGACGACGACCACGACCGACCGTCCGACTGTCCGACCGACCCGCCAGCCGAGCGGCTGTTTGACCGATCAACCGACCGACAACCACGACGACGACGACGACGACGACGACGACGACGACGACGACGACGAGGTCCTTCGGTGGAGCTCCTCATGGGCCACGAAACGTGTGAGGGGTGCGCCGAAATATGCGACGCGGAAGCATGTGGACACACCCACTGGGGCCTTCGGTGGAGCTCCGTGTGGGGCCAAAATGGCTGGCGCAGACGCATGTGGACACCGGCATTGGGGCCTTCGGTGGAGCTCCCTGTGGGGCCACGAAACGTGCGATGGGTGCGCCGAAATAGGCGGCGTGGACGCACGTGGACACCGCCACTGGGGCCTTCGGTGGAGCTCCCTATGGGGCCACGAAACGTGTCAGGGGTGCGCCGACATGGGTGTCGCGGCCGCATGTAGACACCGCCACTGGGGCCTTCGGTGGAGCTCCCAATGGGGCCACGAAACGTATCAAGGGTGTGCCGAAATCGGTTGCACGGACGCATGTTGACACAGAGGTGCGCCGGAACGTGACGCGGAAGCATGTGGACACACCCACTGGGGCCTTCGGTGGAGCTCCAAATGGCGCCACGAAGCATGTGAAGGTGTGCCGAAATGGGTGGCGCGGGAGCATGTGGACACACCAACTGGGGCCTTCGGCTGAGCACTTGCCACGAAAGGTGTGATGGGTGCGCCGAAATGGGTGACGCGGACGCAGGTGGACTCTGGCACTGGGGACTTCAGTGGAGCTCCAAATGGCGCCACGAAGCATATGAGGGGCGTGCGCGGGAGCATGTGGACACTGCCACTAGGGCCGTCTGTGGAGCTCCCTGTGGGGCCACGAACGCGCAAGGGGTATGCCGAAATCGGTGGCGCAGACACATGTGGACACCGCGAGTGGGGCTTTCCGTGGAACTCAATATGGAGACACGAAACGTGTGATGGGGTGTGCCAACATGGATGGCGCGGACGCATGTGGACACACCCACTGGGGCCTTCGGTTGAGCACTTACCACGAAACGTGTGAGGGGTGCGCCGAAATTGGTGACGCGGACGCAGGTGGACACTGCCGCTGGGGCCTTCGGTGGAGCTCCATGTGGGGCCACGAAACATGTGAAGGGTGTTTTGAATCGATGGCGCAGACGCATGTGGACACCGCCACTGGGACATTCGGTGGGGCTCCCTATGGGGCCACGAAACGTCTAAAGGGTGCGCCGAAATTGGTGGCGCGGTCGCATGTGGACACTGCCTCTGGGGCCTCCGGTGGAGCTCTTTGTGGGGCCAGGAAACGTGCGAGGTGTGTGCCGACATACGTGGCGCGGACGCACGGGGAGCCGCAATCGACTACCCGCCCCCCCGCCCCAAGAGGACCCCAAAAGCCCCCCAAGAGGCCCTGGGGACCCCCAAGAAGCCGCCAAGCAGCCCCAAGAGACTCCCAAGAGGTCCCCAAGAGGCCCCCATGATGCCCTAAAGAGGGCTCCAGGGCCGGCGGACTGAGCGAAGCGATTAAATAAACACATGGTTTTGCAACATCAGTTTTCAAAAGTGCTCGCGTTCGCGCTACTGCGAGCTCTTAAGGAAACCATTCGAGCTTTTCAAAATTGCAGTAAATTCTGCCAAACGGGCCTCTCGCGCCGCATGCCTAAATCATTCGAACGCCTTTGCGCGCGTGGGGGGGGGGGGCACGATCCGTATCAAACAATACTATGCGGACCACTCTCGCGCGTCGGCCGCGCGCGCATGTCGAACTCCGTTTCAAAACCTTCATCACCGACGCGAGGACGCCATCATTGGCTTTGGCGTCGTCGTTGTCATCATCGTCACCAGCATCGCAACTACCATCATCGTGTTTACCGTTGTCGGCGTTGCCATGATACCGCGCCGCCCAAGCCGCCGAGTCGCACTGAAGTGCCCGCTTGGACGTGCCCAGCGGTCAGCGCCACCGCGGCCGCGTCGGTAGCGCCAAACGCCAACGCCAAGCAGTCATCTCAATCGGGTTTTGCAAACCAAGTTGCGAATGGGTGGGTGGGATGGTTGCGCGAGCAGTGGAGTTGACAATCCCGCCAGCCCTCTAGGCGCAGGCGGTCCAAAAAAATTGTTCTTCCCTCTTCCAAGAGCCCTTCCCCTTCGGGGAAGGGTTTACCCGTCCCCCCGCACCCTCAGCACTTATCTTGCACCAGATAGATTGCACAACGTAGATAGCACCACATATATTGCCCAACCACGTGAATTGCACCACGTATACTATATTGCACGACATAAAGTGCACCACATAGCTTGCACCGCACAAATTGCACAACATATATTGCCTTACATGGGTTGCAGCATGGAGAATGCTAGATTCGCGCCTGTTGCACAACGTAGACCGCAGCACATGTGTTGCACAACACGTGCGGCATAGCATAGGTTGCACCACACAGATTGCAACACCAACTGAGTCGATTGTACAGCACGGATAGCACTACATAGATTGCACACTATAGTCGGGGCGTTGACCTAAGGAACCCTAACTAAGGAACGAGGCCCCTTTTTTCCTCAAGTTAGACTTCGACTTCCGATCGAAAGCATAAGGAAAACCTGAGGCAAGCTGTGAAACACTTAAGGAACGCGGAGCCCCTCCCCAACGAAAAGGGTTCCTTCTTCAGGGCCCCAACTGAGTCGATTGTACAGCTGCTGCGTCGCGCCGGGAGGAGGAGGAGGAGGAGGAGGAGGAGGAGGAGGAGGAGGAGGAGGAGGGGGAGGGGGAGAGGAGGAGGAGGAGGAGGGAGGAGGAGGAGGAGGAGGAGGAGGAGGAGGAGGAGGAGGGGAGGAGGAGGAGGAGGAGGAGGGGGAGGAGGAGGAGGAGGAGGAGGAGGAGGAGGAGGAGGAGGAGGAGGAGGGGAGGAGGAGGGGGAGGAGGAGGAGGAGGAGGATAGCAGTACATAGATTGCACACGACATAGATTGCACAACACGTGCTGCCAGAGGCACAGCGTCTCGGGGCCCACGCTGGCCACCATGCTCCTCCGGGGAACCAGGGCCAGAGAGCCAACGGCGTGAGACGGATCGCGACGCCAAGGATCCGAGGACTGGACGGTCGAGCGTCGGGGGGGAGGGGGAGGAGGAGGGGGAGGCGGGGGGAGGGGGAGGGGGAGGGGGGGAGGAGGAGGGGGAGGAGGAGGAGGAGGAGGAGGAGGAGGAGGAGGAGGAGGAGGAGGAGGAGGAGGAGGAGGAGGAGGGGGGAGGAGGAGGAGGAGGAGGAGGAGGAGGAGGAGGAGGAGGAGGAGGAGGGGAGGGGCAGGAGGAGGAGGAGGGGGCAGGAGGAGGAGGAGGGGGCAGGAGGAGGAGGAGGAGGAGGAGGAGGAGGAGGAGGAGGAGGGGGCAGGAGGAGGAGGAGGAGGAGGAGGAGGGGGGGGGATCCTGCGACAGCACCTGCATCTCGGTCTCCCCGAGCTTGACCATGAGGCCCGGGAACATGTGGAAGTGCCCGTGTGGTCTGGGCGCCCCCAGCGTCGGTGGTCGGCCGTCGATCGGCGGTCGTCGGTGGTCGGCGGTCGATCGCCGTCCGTCGTCGTCGTCGATCGTCGTCGTCGATCGTCGATCGTCGTCGCTCGTCACTCGTCGCTCGTCGTCGACGAGAAAGGGAACAAGAAAAAGGAAGAAGGCGAGAATAGGCATGTGGAGGGAGGAGACGGAGGTCCAGGATGGAGTATGTGTCAAGGTTCTAGGTGTCTTCGACTTCGGAGAACGTCAACACGGTCGGAGGGCGTCCAGGCATCTTCTAGAATGCCCGTGCATGCGCTCAAAACTTTCCCTGGAGGGAGGAGAGCGAAGGAGGCAGGAGGAGAGAGGAGGTAAAATGATGAAGAAGGTTTTTAAAGGGTTTTAGGGGGATCCAGGAAGCTCGAACTTTTGTGCTTGCCCTGGGGGATCTTATACATCCGCGGCCGTGCCTGCACGAAGACGGCGTGCTCGCGGCTGGGCCCGCAAAAGGACAGAAAGAGCGCCTCGGAAACGTGCCCGCGAGCGCTCGTGGCCCGGGCTCGCTCTTGGGAGCTCTGGCGTCCAGGGCTGTGTCGCGTCACCGCTCCCTCTTGGGAGCCTTGGTCTGAACAGATTTTGTTCACGTGGTCGCTCACTCTCGGGAGCCTTGGCGTTAAGAGTCTCTTGCGCCATCGCTCGCTGTGGGGAGCCTCGGTGGTGTGAAGAGCTGCTGGCGTCACCGCTGGCTCTTAGGAGCCTTGGCTGCTTTCGTCACCGTTCGCTCTTGGAGCTGATTACGTCACCATTCGCTGTTGGGAGCCTTGGCGTGGAGAGCATTCGGCGCCACTGCTCGCCTCTTGGGACCCCTGGCATTAACAGCTTTTCACGGCACCGAGTCGTGTAGAAAAGGTGTGCAACAATAGGCCAAAAAAATAGTGGGACGATGTTTGGACCTGTTCTGACAATATTGGAATATGTTGGGGGCATTTTTTTTTACATTTTTCTCTCCAGATCCGCCTGTAGGGGGTCATGCCCGACCGAATCATAGCTGTTCACGGCACCGAGTCGTGCAGAAAAAAAATACTGCTCACCCGGTGCTCTTGGAAGCCCTGGCGTCAGGCTGCCTCCGCCGCTGGGCCGAGGGGGGGGGGCCCCTGGGGGCCTCGGGGTTGCCTCGGGGCCCTCCCGGGCTGTCTTTTGGGGGCTTGGCCCGTCTTGGTGCCCTCTTGGGGCCCTCTTGGGGGCCCTCTTGGCGGATTGCTGCTGCACTCTGGGGACTCTCCTGGGAGCCTCTCAGAGCCTCCCGGGGCCCCCTGGGGCCTCTATCGAGCCGTCTTGGGGCTCTCTGTGGCCGTCCTGGGGCCCTCTTGGGCCGTCCTGGCGCCCTCTTGGGAGCCTCCTGGCCCATCTTGGGGCAATCTCGGAGGCCCTCAGAACCTTCTTCGGCCGATCTGGGCCCGAAAAGACGCAACCCCCCCCCAAAAAAAACAAACACTTACTCGACGCGGACATCCCCATATGTGAAAAAGCGCGTCCGGTGGACGCTGGGAAGGGGGGGATTCGAACCGGGGGCGCCCCCCTCCCCCCTCAAGGGGGGGGGTCGAAGGGGGGGAGGGCCCGCTGAATTGCAAAGCGGAGGGGTTCGAACCTTTGGGGGGGGGGTCCTGCAACCGACGACGGCGACCGCTGGCGCTGGCGCCCGCGCCGTTGGACAACGACGACGACGACGATTGCTCGCTCGCGCGCTTGCTCGAGCAGGCGAACGAGAGAGCGAGCAAGCGAGCACCGAGCATTGAAAGTCCCGCCGGCCCGATCCGATCCGCCCGGCTCGCCTGCACGGTTGCTCGAACTAGCGAATGAGCGAGCGAGCATATTAGATCGAGTCCGACTAGGATTGTGGTAAAAACTGAGCCAGCCATAGTAGCACGTCTATTAGAGCTGCATCGAGCCTCAGTAAGATTAGATTTAAAATGGGCCCAGCTATAATAAGGCTATATCAAAGGGGAAAGGCGGGGGGGCCAGTTCGGAACCCCCCTCCCCTGCACAGGAGAGGGGGGGGGGGGGCAGTTCGAACCTCCCCCCTCTTGCAACTCAGCGGGGGGGGAGGCCCGCTTCGACCACCCCTCCTCCCACCCGCGCCCTGGTCGCGAGAGAGGCGTCCGGCTCGGAGACCTCCCCCCCTTGCAAGTCAGAGGGCGGGGCCGTTCGAACCCCGCCGCCCTTGGGCAAGGGGGCAGGGGGGGGCCAGCTCGAATCCCCCCTTCGGATGGGGGAGAACCCACCCCCGCTTAGGGAGGCTGGTGTCCAGGGGGGGGGTCGGTTTTCAAGGGTGCTCGATGTGTTTTTGTTTGGGGGGGGCGGTTCCAACGCGTCGAGGCGTTTTCCACCAGGCAGGCGTCCACGAAACGCGTTCGTTCTCTGCCCGATATGTGCACTCCGCATTCCTGTCACGTCTCGCTGGGTAGCTCTGTCTGCGAGCATCTGGCTGTGAGACTCGTGAGAGCGAGTCAGCG